CGGGAGGCGGAGCTTGCAGTGAGCTGAGATCCGGCCACCGCACTCCAGCCTGGGCGACAGAGCAAGACTCCATCTCAAAAAAAAAAAAAAAAACATAAAAATTAGCTGGGCATGGTGGCAGGCACCTGTAATCCCAGCTACTGGGGAGGCTGAGGCAAGAGAATTGCTTGAACCCAGGTGGGTGGAGGTTGCAGTGAACTGAGATCGCGCCATTGCACTCCAGCCTGGGTGACGAGCAAAACTCTGTCTCAAAAAAACAAACAGAAAAGCAGGTGTGTGCCTCCTGCTGCGCTGTGTCTCCATGTAAGGGGCTGTGTGTGTCCAGAGTTAGTGTCCTCACAAGAGTGGCTGTGTCTCACACTTGTCCTAGCTGTGTGTGTGACCTCTCAGCAGGTAATGAGTGTCATTGTTCCCGGGCATGGGTCCAGCAGTCGCCCAGGTGGCCTGATAGTCCCCCTGGACCCCTTTCCAGGGAGCCGTTTGTGCAGGCCAAGCTGCGGCCCGAGGACGGCCTGTACCTCATTCAGTGGAGCACCAGCCACCCCTACCGCCTGATCCTCACAGTGGCCCAGTGTAGCCAGGTGGGCCCAGGGCTGGGGGCTGGGGCTGGGGCTGGACATGCTCCCTGCCTGGTCCCTTGCTCACTGCTCCCATCTCTGCCACCTCCCGCCAGGCACCAGACGGCACACAGAGCTTGCGGCTCCGGAAGTTCCCCATTGAACAGCAGGCCGGGGCCTTTGTGCTGGAGGGCTGGGGCCGGTCCTTCCCCAGCGTTCGGGAACTTGGGGCCGCCTTGCAGGGCTGCTTGCTGAGGGCCGGGGACGACTGCTTCTCTCTGCGTCGCTGTTGCCTGCCCCAACCAGGAGGTGCGACGATGGGGGGACCTCTGGGTGGGATGTGGCATCTCTCCCCCAGGCCCACCCTCCATGACTTCACGCCTGCCTCCAGAAACCTCCAACCTCATCATCATGCGGGGGGCTCGGGCCAGCACCAGGACACTCAACCTCAGCCAGCTCAGCTTCCACCGGGTTGACCAGAAGGAGATCACCCAGGTGGGTGCAGGGAAGGGGCCTGGGGCAAGGGCAGGGCCCCTGGGGATATGGGTGCTGGGGGCCTTGGGAGATCAGCTGCGAACTCTCACCACGGCAGTGTTCTGTGCCACATGGTTCCGCAGCTGTCCCACTTGGGCCAGGGCACAAGGACCAACGTGTACGAGGGCCGCCTGCGAGTGGAGGGCAGTGGGGACCCTGAGGAGGGCAAGATGGACGACGAGGACCCCCTCGTGCCAGGAAGGGACCGTGGGCAGGAGCTACGAGTGGTGCTCAAAGTGCTGGACCCGAGTCACCATGACATCGCCCTGGTGAGCGGCAGGGCCAGGCCTGGGGGGTCTGGAGGAGGCGGGATGGGAGGGGTGTGTCTGGAGGAGGCGGGATGGGAGGGGTGAGTCTGGAGGAGGTGGGATGGGAGGGGTGTGTCTGTGGAGGTGTGGGATGGGAGGGGTGTGTCTGTGGAGGTGTGGGATGGGAGGGGTGTGTCTGGAGGAGGTGGGATGGGAGGGGTGTGTCTGTGGAGGTGTGGGATGGGAGGGGTGTGTCTGGAGGAGGTGGGATGGGAG